CCTCGCCTCCCTTCCAGCCTGTCTGCTTCTGTGGACACGATTCCTGCTAGCTTGCTGTGTCTTTCTCCGTGTCGCCTTTGAGATCTGACCACAACTGGGGCAGAACCTGACGGCTCCCCTCTCCGCCCCCCGCTTCCCTTCCTAGTCCAAGGCCTGTCTGGTGCCCCTGTCCTCGTATTTCTGCTCTGGGGCCTCGAGCAGTAAGCAGTTAATGTATTATGTTAGGTTTTGTCTCTTAATTTCAAAAGTGGGGGGCTAGGGAGGTAGAGAGTGTGTGTGTGGTGTGTAACCCCTCTTGGAAATCAATCACCGAAGTCCCTCCTCAGAGGTCCTGAAAATCTCCTCCTGACTCCCTCCTCCCGCTGACCCCCTCACCCTCTCGCTGCCTGCCTCCATCCCGACGTGCTAATCACATTCAGGCCAAAGGCAGGGCCGGGCTACCTGGCTGCCGCCCAGAGGACATTTTATTTTATTTACAGATTGCTGTTAACCCCTGAACTATGGATTCTTCTGGAAGCTGTGACACAAGGAAGTCTAGCCCACTCGGGCAGTTCCAGCCTGGAGCTGCGGTAGTACTCACCTTAATGAGCTGTGTCGTTGGGAACAGAGCCCACAAGCCAGAGGTCGGGGGGTGGGAGGAGGTCGGGGGGGGACGCCTGGCCCCCTCCCAGCCTTGCCACCTGAGGGGACATGAAAACACGTGCGCAGCCCAAGGCCTGGCCTCAGAGTGGATTCCACTCCAGGCTCTGGTGGGATCTCGGCTTCCGGTCACCAAGTGGGTTCCAAGGTGATGATCTCACACTTGGGTTTATACACTTTTCTGTGTATTTCTAAATAACAGTTGCCCTCTCCGAAGCAAGGACTTTGAACAGATATGCCCTTCTTCCCACAAGACTGTAAGTACTCACAATCTTCGAAGAGCATCTCTTTCAGAATGACCTTTGTGAGTTAGTGTACAAATCACATATTCACACACACGCCCTGTCACAGACAAATAAAAGCTGTTTTGTGATTTTATATCCAGACCTTGCTCTTGCTCAAAATGGCTTTTCCCGGCCTGATCACTCACCTTATTCATCAGACTTGGCTCAGAAGGACTTTTGACTCTTTCCCAAACTCAGATCTTCCTTGAAGCAAGAAACTTCTCTATCACTGGAGATTTTCAAAAGAGTGTACCACATGCCCCGACATACTTCCAGAAGAGTTCTTAGGGGTTTTAAGCATGGCAGTTGTAATTGGAATAAACCTACGAGTCCCTGGGCATCTCTTGAAAGGCGACAAAATACACCTTGGATGTGAACGTTCTGGGTTGGTGACAATTCCATTCTCAAAACAATGTAGCCAGCAGACCTGCCATACTCCACCCCACCCCACCCCACCCCACCCCACCCCACCCCACCAAGCCAGCTTGGAGCTTGCTCCACTGGTAGCTGGACAACTAGTAAATATTTGTTTGAATTTCAAGCAGGTTCCTTAGATGAAAATCTGAGGCCTGGTTTTAAAGACGTGGTAAAATGTTTGGTATCGGAGAACCTGGTAATGGTATGTCTTTAACAAACTCTATTTGCATCTTTAAGACTTCTCTGGTAATATAGATGTGTGGATAACAATGATGTATAAAAATTCATTAGCCATGAAGCATGTTCTGAGAATATATTGTTGGTGAGGGAAGACCTAATCCTTAGCAAGTAGGTTTCTTCGTTTCCATTCATTTCTTACATATATGTTTCATATGTCTATAGTTTGTATGTAATATGTATATATTTTAAGCAGCCCCAGGATGCCCCACCCTTTCTACTAGGACACCGGAAGAGGGCTAATTAGGAGGGCATCTACACTGGTACCTCTGAGCCTGTGGCATTGGTAAAGGAAGGGCTCCTAAAACAATTTGGGGGGAGGTAATTTGATATTTGACATTTCCTTATACATAAATTTCTGGTTGGGTTGTTTTATTTTGGATTGCTTTTGTAGGCACTCTACCCCCGCCAGTGCATGATGGATCCCTATGCTCAGTGCCTGTAGGAGGAGGAGTCCCAAGTCAAAGAGAGCCCCAGGGGTGTGAGTACATGCCTAGAGAGGCTGAGGCGGGGCTACAAGGGCTCCCCAAAGGAGGGGTAGAGCATGGGGCAACTTCTCTGGCAGGCTTGACCACTACCCCTGGGAGGCCACGCTGCGCTTTCCGGCACAGAACATGGTGCTGGGGTCACGAGGCCAGCTTCTGCCTCCAGCTGTGTGATCTTAAGTAGGACTCTTATCATCTCTGGATGGGAGCCTAGCATTTGCAAGATGAAATGATTGGATGAGCTCAGCAGTTCCCTACTTGAGGTCTTTGACAGGAGTATCCTGGGGAGGAGGGACCTATAGTAAGTCCCATTGTTTTCAGGCGACTGCTGGAAACTTCCGCCCTCCACTTGCTAAGGCTGCCTTGGCCAACCACACTTGGCATTTCCTAGCTTTGGGCGGGAGGTAGAGCAGTTCCTTGGGCTCATGGATGCTGTTTCATGCTGACCAGGAGCTCTGGCTGCCAGTTACATGTGTCTTTGGTTAATAAAAATGGGAAAATAAATGTATTGTTATTCAATAAATATTTAAAAATCAGTAACACTTATAAGATACCTGGCATATTGTTGGCCCTTAATAAATGGTAGTCGTCATTATTATTAATATTCTTCTAGCTTATCTGGTTGGCAAGAGCTTTTAAAACGTAGGCTATAAGCAGGGACATTCATGGGGAGACAGTTAGGAGCCCAGGGGGCTGGTTTCCAGACCCTTCCAAGAAATAATATGATCTCAGGTTCTCCTGGCTGCAGGCTCCTGGTGCAGGAGGGCAGGGTGGGTACGTGAGGACTGGCGATCCCAAGACACCGAACCCCAGGGAACAGAGTCTCCAGCCCTATTTCATGTAGAGCCCACCCTTTCCCCCAGTTCCTTCGTAGTCCTGAGCTGGCCCCGTCTGCTGGGTGGACTGGCAGTCCAACTCTGGTGGGCAGGGTCTTGAGACTGAACCTCAACAGCCTGGCTGCCTGATCCTTTGCTAACTACGGGTTGCAAGGTCTGACACGAATAGGGATGGGGTTAGGGAGAGACATAAGACTTACGAGGGACGGTTTTCTTCCTCAGCGAGTTTCACCTCTCCTCGTCAAGGTGATGTGATTCAGAGTGCAATTGCACAATTGCTTTCATAGAATTTTTAAAAAAAATTTTTATTGTTATGTTAATCACCATACATTACATCATTAGTTTTTGATGTAGTGTTCCATGATTCATTGTTTGTGCATAACACCCAGTGCTCCATGCAGAATGTGCCCTCTTTAATACCCATCACCAGGCTAACCCATCCTCCCACCCCCTCCCCTCTAGAACCCTCAGTTTGTTTTTCAGAGTCCATCGTCTCTCATGGTTTGTCTCCCTCTCCCCCTCTTTCATAGAATTTTATGCCACACATTATAATAAGAACTACAATTTATTGACTGCTTCCTATTTGCCCAACACTCTCTGGGATATTAGCATATATATTATCTCACTGACTTTTTAGACAAGCCCTGAAGGGTGTATCAGTATTTCCATTTGATGATTTCAGACACTGAGGCTCAGAGAGGTTAAGCGACTTGCCCAAGATTACACAGCTAGATAGTGGCAGAGCTGGGATTTAAAGCCCATGCTCTTTCCAAATATTAAAGATTTGTTGCGATTTGATGAAATATCCCACAGTATGAGGAAGACAAACATTAGCAAGTTCCCAAAGAGTCACAGAGTGAAAGGTAATCCAGAAATGCTTCCGGGAAGAAGAGAGTTGTTGTTGTTGTTGTTGTTTTTAGGAGAGTTTTGAGTTGGCTCTTGAAGGGGAAAGGGAACAGGGAACAGGGGATTGAAGGGGAAGGTGTGGACTGAGCTGGGGGCCGCATGTGTGCAGGAGAGATGGGAGAGCCGGCATGCTGGTTTTGGGGTGATGGCAGAAGGCTGAGCCCCCTGAGCGTCAGATTGAGAGTGATGCCTCATGATTGCCGCTTGGGGAATAGGTGACATGGTTGGACACCTGTCTCTTTCCGATGCCTTTGGCTCTGTCTTTCTCTTTGGCTACCATTACCTCTCTGCCCACTGGTGGCAAGGGCTGCTCTGGGACTCCTACTCTGTGGACAGCAGTCAGATTCCAGGAAAAAATTGGCCAGGGATTTACTTTTCTGCTCCCTCCTCCCCTCCACCCATCCTCCCCTCCACCCATCCTCCCCTCCTTCCTTCCTTCCTTCCTTCCTTCCTTCCTTCCTTCCTTCCTTCCTTCCTTCCTTCCTTCCTTCCTTCCTTCCTTCCCTTCTTCCTCCCTCTCCCCCTCCCTTTCTTTTTCTCTGTCCCTCCTAATATTTTCTTTTCAAGACTAGCATTTAGGCAAGAATAAAACTGAATGAGACCAACCACTCGTAGTGTAGCTCTCCCACCCCACCACTCCAAACCGCAATTTTCCGCTTTTCTCCAGCGCCTTCTGGCTCTTGTCCATTTGTTCCCATCAGGCTGACGGTTGTAAACACTGGGTAGATACAACCTTTTATTTCTTTTGACCTTGATATCAGAAACTTTTTTTCCCCTACGTTGTCACAAAATTATCAATGGGTGCCTATATCCCACTGGGCCCCGGGGGAACCCTGATGGACAGAAGCTTCTCACCATGGCTGCATTTCTAGTTGTTTCTTTGGTGGGGGGGAGCTCCTTTCCTGCTGCTCTTATCACTGAGAGACCCAAGAGGTGGGCAGGGGCTGTGGGAGCAGAACACAGAGGGGTTGGGCTGCCTGGGGAGGGGGACGGGGCAGGCAGTAAGTCAACTGACAGAGATACCTCGGGGGATACATGCGGCTGGTGGGAGCCAGGAGAACGGGGTGGCGCTGCCAGGGGGGCTGATACTTATTTCTTGCAACTATTACGAGGACTGAACGAGATCATGTTTGCAAAGTTTCTAGCTTTCAGTAAACATAGTTCCCTTACTGCTCTTTCCTTCCTTTCTCCTTCAGATGGTCTTGAGCAACTCGGAGGTATTGATGATGGATACAATGATCTCTGTATAAGGAGGTCTTAGCTATGGGCCTGGCAAAACGATGGTCAACCCATTCATTCAACAGATGTCTGTAGAGCAGCTGCTATGTTCCAGAATGTGGGCCTGAATGAGACAGGCAAGACCTCTGCCAACATGGACCTCACAGTCTCGTCGGAGAGCCAACCAATAAACAGGTAAACACAAAGATAAGAATGTCCCATAATGTTAGTTCTATAAAAGGATGCCAGATGTTTAAATTGGGAGGTCAGGGGTGGCAACTGAATTTTAGATGGAAAGGCCTGGAGGGGTATTTGGTTGGAAAGCAGGGCCAGGGGGAAAAAATGGTTTTTTCTTAAGGTGGGAGTTTCTTTGGATGTGTCTTTGGGAGGGAGCCATTTAGGATTTTATGGGAGGAAGAAGCTAATGTAGGCCCTCCCCAAAGCCCATCCTCTCATGCCAACACTGTTGAGGGGATAATTAATGTCTGAGCTAAGTTCTGCACGATGAGAAAGAAACAGCACGTGAAGTTCTGGGGGAAGATGTGTGTGGCCATGGCCAGCACTCAGGGAGGTGTGGGAAGAGGGGGCAGGGTGTGTGGGGGAGGGCTCTGGGAGGCTGAGCAGGCAGGGCCTGTGGGCCTGTGCCCTCAGGGTTTGATTTCCAGTGCAGGGAGTCACTGGAAGGCTCTCAGCAGGACTGGGGTGCCCTGGTCGGGCTCAGGGTGTAGGCATTTAGACATTAGAAAATCTTTTAGAGGAAACAGTAAGTATGAATGGCAGACCCAGGCGTGATCAGGCCTATCCGGGAATGTCACACGTGCTGGGTCCTATTGGGTGAACTAGAATGTGAATTGGTATAAATAGAGTACATGCTATGGCCAATGAGACATTTGGAAGAGACGCCACAGTTGTGATGTTTCTGTGACCGTGAGGCAAAGGGGAGACCTGGGGAGGAACCTGGGAGAAGCCTGGGTGGAGGACCACGTCCAAGGCATAGGGGGAAAGGAAGGCTGGGGCTCTGTGTGTGTGTGTGTGTGTGTGTGGGTCCGCTGGGCATTGGATGCCCCCCTTTCTTCTCCTGGTGTGGCTCCCCCGATCAATGACTGTGTCCATGGACCCGCCAGGCCTCAGGCTGGCGCAGCTTCTCCCAGGCCATTCGTGAGCTTCCTTGGGTTTCCAGGGCCTGGCCACTGCTCCTTCTCTCAGGAGTCTCTCCATCCCTGCTGCCACCAAGAGTAGGCAGGCTCACATCTACAGGGAACACGGATTGTTGTGATTCTGTTATGATTCTTGAAGGGCAAGTGCGTGTCTATCAGCTCACCTGTGTACACATATTCAGACACTTCTGGTCACACCAACTTGAGCGACTTCTTGCCGCCACGCAGATCCTCTGACGTATATCACCCCCCACACATGGGCCTGACTCGCCAGGCCCTGGCAACCCATAGATGTTTGTATACATTCGTGGACCTGCCACAGTGCAACTCACCTCATCGGTTGGATTCACATGCAAGCTCCCAACACAAAAGGCTGCACCGGCAGAAGATCCTTGGTTTCCTGGACCCTCCCTCTGAGGAGCAGGTCTGGGTACAATGCGCCGTCCACGAGGCTCAAAATGCAAATTCCATAGACAGGCGACTCTGAAACTGTGCTTCATGACCCCTTAGCGAGTCATGAAATCAATTCGCAGGGTTGCAACTAACTTCCAAAGAAAGTGCAGAAAATAAATTTGGATGTAATAGGACGGGAAATGTGAGTGGGTCTGTCCTACGTAGTAAGGATAAGTGTAACGTGAGCTTTTTTTCAAATGCGTATTATGTGTACCAGATTGCAGTGGAATTTTTTGTTTTTACTGTGACTTGTGGCAGAAAATGTTTGAAAGGCACCACAAAACCTTCTATCTTAGTCTAGCACTGTGATGGGCAGTACGAGGAGCCCTTTCCCCTCCCCTGCCCTCCAGAGATGCTGGGTAGTGGGGAGCCTGAGCCCCCGCAGAGCTCAGTGATGTGGCCTACTTGTGCCCTGACCCAGGGGGGTGGAGGGGTGAGGCTGGACGCTGAGATGCTGTCTGGTGGGTTGGCTGAGAAAGAAGCCAGGAGATGCTTATAAACCTGAGTGGACAGGACCGGTGGACGGGTTGGTGGTGGCAGAGGGGTAAGTGACGGCTGAGGCTCCAGCCAGGTTTGGGTGTGGGGTAGACTGGGGCTGGGAATGCAGGTAGAGGAGAGACTTGTCTTTTGTGAAGGTGGATAGTGAGATTTGACACCAGCATATTGAGTTTGGGTGGCAAGGGAGACTTTTAGTTGGCCACAGCCGTGGTCGTCCTGGGTAGGGTCTGGGAGACAGTATGGGTCGGAGGTGCAGGTGTGGGGTCTGTTGCATGGGTGGGAGCGAAAGTGGGCTCAGGGGGGCAGGGGGTCAAGAAGAGGCCCAGGAGAGAGCCCCGAGAACCACTGCCATGCAAGGAAGGACCAGAGGCAGGGACACTGTGATGGGAGAGAGGCTGTTCTAGAAGCCAGGGGGTGAGTTCCAGGGAAGAGGCATGGACTGCTGTGTCCCAGCCGTCCCTGAGCAGAGAATCTAACCAGAGAGGAGACCTGAAACAACCAGATGGCTGTTCGGGACTGAACTTCATGCTGTCGGCTCCGTGGGCCAGTGCGCCCCCCGAGATCTGCCAGGACTTCCCTTGATATGTTGTCATCAAGAGCCAAGAGGGAAGAGAGTGAGGTTGGGACAAGGTAGAGGTAGAGCTGTGTTGTCAAACTGGCAGAGCCACCGGCCTCCCCTCCCCTCAGCCGCCGAGTGACACAGCCCCCTACCACAGCAAGGGACATCGGGAGACATGAGTTATAACTCTGGCCATCAGGAGCTCCCCTCACTCTCCACAGGTCTCATTTCCTGACCAAAAAACAAATGGGATGTCACCAGAATGATCTCTAGATCTCTGCCTTCTCTAAAATTCTTTAAAGCCTTCTGCAAAATGGGGTTTATCATCCTTGCCCTGCTTCCTTCACAGGAGGAACGCTTTGGAGAATCGTCAAGAACCACCAAAGCAAGGGTATTAAGATTATAGTCATCATTCAGGGTATTTACCCAAAGAAAATGAATACACTAATTTGAAAAGATACACGCATGTTTACTGTAGCCTCATGTGTAATAGCAAGATATGGAAGTAGCCCCAGTGTCTATTACTAGATGAATGGATTTAAAAAAATGTGATATACATACACAATGGAATATCACTTGGCCATAAAAAAGAAGGAAGTCTTGCCATTTGCAAAAACATGGACGGATCTAGAGAGTATTATGCTAAGAGAAATAAGTCAGACAGGGGCGCCTGGGTGGTGCAGTAGGTTGAGAATCCGACTCTTGGTTTTGGCTTGGGTTGTAATCTTGGGGTCGTGGGATCGAACCCCACGTTGGGCTCCGTGCTCAGTGTGGAGTCGGCTTGAGACTCTCTCCCTCTCCCTCTGCCCCCTGCACATGCGCTCTCTCTCTCAAATAAATAAATCTTTAAAAAAAAAGAAATAAGGCAGACAGAGAAAGAAAAACATCATATGATTTCACTTACAGTGGAGTCTAAAAAACAAAACGAATGATTACGTAAACAAACAAACAACAACAAAAATAGAAACAAACTCAGAACTCTAGAGAACACACCGATGGTTGCCAGAGGGGAGGGGTGTTGGGCACGGGGAAAATAGGTGAAGGGGATTAGAGATCCAAACTTCCAGTTACGAAATAAATAAGCCACAGTGATGAGAAGTACAACATAGGGAATACTGACAATAATATTCTCATAACTTCGTGTGGGGACGGATGATAACTAGACTTACCGTGGTGAACATTTTGTAACGTATGCAAGTGTTGAATCATTATGTGGTATGTCCGAAACTAATAACATGTATCAACTATACTTCAATTAGAGATTTCGAAAAGGGTTATGGTTGTTCATAATTAGACTCAAAAAGGCCCTCAGCAGCCTGAGGTAGCCAGGTAGCTGTCAGATCTCTCCATTCCTTTCTCCTTCTTCTCTACCTGCTTACCCGTTTGCTGCTGTATTCTCAAAATTGTGCATAGTGGTTGGCAAAAATGGGGGGATAGGAGGAACTGAGGCAGAAACTTATTAAGCCAGTGAGTAATTGTTGGGTACAGACTGGGTGCAGGTATCTGTTAGATGCTGGGGTTACCATGGAGACCAGGATACAGGATTGGCTGTGAAGGCTTCTGCTGTTGGTGCACAGCAGAACCACCCCTGCAGTTCTTCAAACCCAGATTCCATGGGTCCCGTGCTAGACCCACCTCTCTCAAAGCTTCAAGGAGGCCACCTTGGCATGTGTCTGTTTAAAAAACTCCATAGGGGATTTAATTGCACTTGGAAGGGTGAGGTGAGGACCAACCACTGAGTGGGAAGACGCAAAGCAGCTCCCTGAGATGGAGTGGTAAGTGCTAGAAGAAAGTAGGGTCATGAGTGCTGGGACGGAGTGCTAAGGAACCCCAGAGCAGGGGTGTGTGAACATAGATGCAGTCAGGGAAGACTTCCTGAAGGAGATGCTGCCCATACTGAATTTTGAAGGATGCGGGAAGAGGGAATAGCAGGTGCGAAGGCACGGAAGCTTTAAATGGATGGCCATATGCCACCTTAAAGGTGTCTACACATAAAGTGCACAGTCCGGCTTAGAGGTATACCTTATAGGCAAGCCCACCTGTGACCCTGAGAAAGTCCCATTGTAGATCCCTCCCTTTTCACAACACGGGCTGGCTTCCATCATGAGGCTGGATGTGTTCTCTGGGGACCCGGTTCCTGTTAATAATGGATTTATGCAAACAAGAGTAGCAACCATATTAAAGCACACCAGGGTGAGAGGCAGGCTTTTCTCAGATTTCACCCGGATCAGGCAGGAACAAATGGGTAAATTTACCAAGGCCTCATTATGGGCAGGTCTGTCCTGCATTGTTGCTAGCTATTGTAAAGAAAGTATTATTCCTGCCATCTTAGCTGTTCAGAGAGATGGAGTGACTTGCCCAAGGTCACACAGCAAGTGTGTGGAGAATGAGGACTTGGGTCTAATCCTACTTGGGCACACAATGAGGTGGCTAAGAGTGTGGCAGCCAAACTTCCTGGGCTTGAATCCCTCATCCATGTGTCTGAGGGATCTCGGGGCAATTTCCTTCAGCTCCGGGCTCAGTTTCCT